CCCCGAAGGGGTCCCGGCGGCGCCCCGCGGCCTTCCTTGTGCCCGTCAGAGCCCAAGTTCTGGGAAGAGTTTTCACGGGCCTGGAACTGTTGCATTCACTCTTGCTTTAACGTGAGCTCGTGGTAGACATTGACGCATCAGTATGCCCAGAAACAAAGCGTCCACTGTGCTCAGAAAATGGTAATATCCTCTGAAGTAAGCAACTGGTTAAGGGTTTTTTTTTTTTTTGCCTTAGGACTTCTCCGCGGCTGCTCTGTGTAGCAACACAACAGAAAAATACCGGCCAGAACTTGGAAGAGGACCAGAGTCAGAGTCAAAATGAGCAGAAGGCTGAGCCGAGCTCTGCAGAGAAAATGCTAGCTGAAGAAAAGGGTAAACTGGAAGAACAACTAAAAGAAGTTACTGTAAGTGTCTTTTGGTTAGTCAGTGTGCATAGCTTACAAAGTGCATACCTAAGAGTGTCCAGTACAGGTTCTCCCTGTGCACAGTCTGGATAGGGCTGTGTGGCTGCTGTTTAGTTCATGAGCAAAAAGTTTGGATTTGATAACTTCATTAAACTTAAAACTAGATGTACTGCAGGACCTGGGATGTATCCTGAGTCGAAGGTGAAGACAAAATATTTTTGCTCAGTTAGTTTCATTCAGATTCCTGAGTGGAATTCAACCTCCTCCAGCCTGAAATTTCATTAATTTTAGCCTCACTGACTTCAGTTCACTTAGGTTTTTGCTCAGTGCCGAAATGATTTCTGAAAGTCCTTTGAACGGTTTGAGTGAATCTTTAGGGTATGTTTGTGTGCACTGAGAACAGGATTTATGAAAACATAGCTGCTAACTTTTCCGAAGGCCGAGGTCAATGATGCTTAGCTTTCCTGTGGTAGCGTATTTATTACGGTTCTTAGAAAGTGGGAATTTCAGCCCATCGCTTCTCTACTGGGGAGTCCTTTAAACACAAGAGTGAAGTGTCATGCTCCCTCTTTCTCGCCTAATGAATCTTGTGCTCCCTCCCACGCATGACTTTAGCAGAGGGTGAAGAATGCCCTAAGAAAGGGGAGGTGTGGATTAAACAAAGGTGTTGATTTTCTGGATGAGTACTTGGTATAGACTGCCCTTCTAGAGTGTTTGAGACGTTGAGAAGTAACCCAGAATCTTCTCTAGAAACAGTGCCTATGGATCGTAAGTGCATTGAGGTTCCTTTCTGATGCCCTTACCAAAGCACTGAAGGACAAAACTGAGGTGTAACTTAACGTCTCTGTGGACAAAATTGTCTACTGGCTACCTAAGGTAGCTCTTCAGCCAGCTCGCTGACTGTTTGTATTCGCTTCTGAGATAACTAGCCTGTGAAAGTCAAGCATGTTGAATGTGGAAGCCCAGCACAGAGTTCTGGGTTAGGTGGTGAAGCATTCACTCTGAAGTGTCTAACTTTATTGGATTTAGGTTTTGGTACGTATGCTGCTATATGGCCATCTTGCTGGAAACGCACCTAAACTTAACCTGATTAACAAAGAAGTTAAATTCCATAAGGTTTGAAAAACTGGAGGATACTGGTGTGGAGAGGAGAGAGAGATGGCTTAAAAGGAAAGGTTGGGTTGAATCTTGTTTGACATGGTTTCAGAATGTCTTATGACTTACAAAGGCTTTCTCTCAACACACATCAGAAAAAGCAGATCTCTTTGATTCGTAAAACTTCATATATCCCTAGTGTTGAAAGTTCCTGCCAGACTAATTTGTTGGCGAATACTGAGGGTCTGGAAACCCATCTTATTTCCATTCCCTCACTTCTCTGTGCACTGAAATGAAGCCAATGTTTGCCTGTGTAGCAAGGATGCTGCGATACTTGGCGTTAATCTTTAAACTGTGGACTTAGGCTATGTCACTGCTGAAAATGCTATTTTATACTGAATATGCTTGTTTGAATTACTGACAAGTACTCAAACACCTGTAATGAAATCCGTTCTGTAATTGTTTTTTCTTCTTCAGGACAAGTACAAGCGAGCCTTGGCAGATGCAGAAAACGTGAGGCAAAGAAGCCAGAAACTGGTAGAAGAGGCAAAGTTATATGGTCAGTGAAGACTCTTTTTTGCATGTACTCGTAAGAGCCAGGAATACTAGTGTGCAATGCAAAGCATGGAAACTGAGCTGATAGCCCACGGTGTTACTTTCTGGATATTATGGTGACTTGATTAAAAACATGTTTGAGGCAGAAAGATGTAAATAGTTCCTTGTTTGTTTAAACTGATTTTATCGGGATTATAATCATCTCACTAGACAAGGGTGATACTTGGTCTGTTGAAATTTTGATTGAATTTGGTTTCTGATTTCCTGCAATATATACCGCACTAGTGAATTTTTCAGTAAGGTTCGTAGCCTGAAGTTTGCCTTTTTCACACAGTCAGTCTCAAATTTGACTGTGATAAATTGAACCAAGAGCGCAGAACCTTCCTGCTGTGTTGTTTTTTTTTTTAAGCCATCTTAATGACTTTCCTGTTCTGTTGAAGGCTGTAGCTTTCAAATAGAGGTAATACGTCTAAGTGACTGGATTTTTTTTCAGTTACGAGCTTGTACAATCACTGGCTTTGAGGAGTGCTAAAAGTACATCTTTCTTCAAGAGCCAGGCCACTGATTCATTTAATGTCCGAGTTAGGGTTTGAAATGGTTCAAACACAAAAGCGTAGCACAGAGATTGCATGTAAATACTGTAGCAGAAGGAATCTTGTTTCACACGGTCTCATCTCAGTGTTTAACTGTCACTCTGACTTGAGAAATGAATTGGCCTCTTCTGCCACACATTATACACAGCTATATCGTTTAATTCTGAATACAGGACTTTGATTTCTGAGGACAGGGTCATCAGTTGCTATCTACTGTGAGGAAGAAGCTTTTCTCTCAGTTACATAGTATTCTAGTGCAGTTCTCATAGATGTTTTAATGCTTCATCTTGAAGTTCATTTTCAATTTCCATTTTTTCACTAATGCGATCCTTAGCATATAAGGGCTTTGAAGCATGCCTACGTCAGATGCTACAATAGCAATAAATAAATTTCTTACGAAAACTACATTTCAGATCATCTTCGTGACTGTAAATTTCATCATTCATGTGTGATTGTTTTTTCTATTGAGGGAAGAGAAACTGAATCCTGAGAATTGTGTAGATCCACAGAGATGCAAAGTCACAGATATCTGCAGAGAGAACTTCTTCAGAAGGTTTTTTTTTTTTTTTTGCATAATTTGGCTGTTTGGTTTGATTCAGATCATTAGGTGACTGATTAACCTGTGGTTGGCACAGATGCTTGAGTTGTAACCATAGTTTTAGGTTTAATTTAAAAGTCTGAATCATTTGTTAATGTTTTTAGAACTACTTGGACACTGTCAGTTACTGTTTTATAAAGAGCTTGAGTCTCTAAGGAATGTTAAAGTGACTCTTTTTCCTGATAACCTGTTGGTCCCTGTAAATCTCACAATTTAGTTCCCTTAGTTCTCTTTTGCATAAACTGAAAGCATGTCCTTTGGTAATGCTCGTATCACTTCTTGCTAGGGAAAATACACGTAAAATGTGAGGCAGAATTAAAAAGGCTGACTGTGGCTAAAAGGAGCGAATAAAGCTAACCAAAATGCAGTGCGTCTTGTCACTGGTTTACCTCCGTGTTAGCTAGAGAACAGCTTCAGGACACAGACTGTTAGTTTAGGAATTACTCAGTTTTTACAAAGCGTGGCTTCAGACTCCAACTCTGTAAAAGTCTTTGTAGTGGGAAGGGGAGAGATGTGAGTTCCTTTCATTCAAGGAATAATCCCTGTTCATCTCTTAAGAGTCCTCAGCATTCTGACTAGGGCTTTTTCTTCTGCAATTTTTTTTTAGCACATCAGATGAAAATGTAGGCATAGGGCAACGTAATGCTTTGGACTTCTTCAGCCAAATCCCAGGATGAGAGGAGACAGAAAACATTCCATAACGTGAGGGAATTACATTAGGCCATCTGAAGTTTTGATGACTTTTGGTTGTAAACATAACTGTTAAGGTCAGCTCACCAGTGTAGCTTCAACTCTTCTGAGTATTAAGTGGAATTTTTTTCCCCCACAGAATTAAGGAAGGGGTGTGGATTGTAAGGAATCTGTAGTAGTAAAGCCAAATAAATATAATAAATAGTCAAGTAAAATTGGGAAGGACATTCTACCCCAGCTATTTGTAATATCCTACCTTGTTTAAAATCTAAAATATACAGATTATTGCCCTTGGAATTTTTTTTTCTTTTTGAATATTTGCTTCTTTCACTGGATGAATCCCATTCCCTCTTCCGTTTCTTTACAGGAATTCAAAGCTTCTGTAAGGACTTACTAGAAGTTGCTGACATTTTGGAGAAAGCAACAGAAAGTGTTCCAAAAGAAGAAATTAAGGATGAAAATCCTCATCTGAAGAGTTTATACGAAGGTCTCGTCATGACAGAAGTACAGATTCAAAAAGTGTTCAAAAAACATGGCCTGCTCAGACTGAATCCTGTCGGCGCCAAGTTTGATCCCTACGAACATGAAGCGTTGTTCCATGCTCCTATGGAAGGGAAGGAGCCTGGCACTATTGCATTAGTATCCAAGATTGGCTATAAGCTGCATGGGCGTACACTGCGGCCTGCCTTGGTGGGTGTCGTGAAAGACGCTTAGCTGCTTAATTTGAGAATTTAAAATGCCATACAACTATTTAACAGCTGGATGGTTTTTTTCTCTTACATCGTGCTTTCGTCCTTCCTCTATCCCCTGAGAGAGGTTTAAATGAACCAGTTGAGATCTTCCCCATGAAAATGAAGCAAACAATGAAATAGGGGCCTTCAACATCAGTGCTCTATAAGCTCTATTCTTAGGTATGAAATACAAAAGCCAATAGGTTCTTTGATGCTTTGGATATCATTTAACAGTGTCATTGCTACTGAAGGTGCATTAAATTGGGAGGAAAAAAGTGCTCATGAGAATTCTTAAATCTTATGTTTGTCACTATCCAGAGTGGAAAGCCAAACAGTTGTTCAAACGCGTCTTCTGTTATATTAGTTCCTACCAAACAAGAAGTGGGTGAAGTAGTACAAATAACCAGTTTTCTGCAAGTGTCCACCAGCTTTCACTTGCTGATGTGATAAATGCTTTTTTTTTTTTTTTGGTAATATGTCTATTCAGAAGTAGAGCCTCTCTCAATAACTGAAATTGCAACCTTTGTGAATTCTGACCTGTAAGAAAAAGGCAAGGGAGAGTAGACGTCTTTTGTAATTGTTCAATCCTTTTTGTTCTATATTAAAGTTGTCTCAAGAAAACCATCTAATACTTGTATAGCATTGAAGAACTTACACAACTTACTTATCCTATCTCTGGATTTTTAATTTAATTGAATATTGTATAAATTGGTTTAAACAATTTTGATAGTCTTGTAACTTCCAAGCATTAGAACCAGTTTGTTATGCAAACTGTAGTTACAGTCCTGCTGACAAATCTGAATAGCCAAACAAGTGAATAGCTGAGTTTGATACCTATTATCTTCCAGAATTACATAAATACTTTTAAGTGGCTGAAACAAAAGTGTGAACTCAATTTCATCTCCATTTCTTGGGTTTACTCTTCCAGGATCTTAAGTTTCAACATAACTTTTCCCAGATGCAGCTTTTGCCATGTTTATCTGCTCTTTATCTGCTTGTTCCTACTTCTGCAGAATCAGGCTAAAATACAAACATACCTTATTAATTGATTGCATTATACTTCAGTTGTGTGATCACCTCAGTAGGTGTGGATGGAGTTTGCCAAATCATACAACTGACAAAGCATCTGTGTTCCCACATCCTCAAAGTTCGTTCATTAACACATAGGCTAGAAACATCAAACTTCTGCACATTATTAAAGCATGGTAAACTAACAGTTAAGTATGTCTGAATTTCCACCCTCCCTTCTAGTTCCTGCTTGTCTTGAATTAAGGTGCTTCTTACCTTGAGTATTGCTTTTGAGAAATATGCAAAGTTGCCAATAGCTGCTCATGATGAGAAGTGATTACTTCCTCTTTTAAGTCTTTTTTCATGTTGGTTTGCTGCATGGCAATCAACCAGTTATGTGAGAATAACTTAAGTATTTACTGCCTCTCATTTTGAGTTTAATGTATTTTAAGGCTTTAGTTATTTCTTCCTCAACTCCAAGAAGCAAAATCAATGCTTTGACTAGGCAGAGGAGAGAGAATAATTATCTTTTGCATGTGCAAAGACAACTCAGCAATGTTAAACTTCTTGCAAACTAGGAAGTAGTTTAATCAAGTACAGGGATGAAAATGCAAAGAAAGACTGGTGTAAACAAACATAGAGGAAGAGCTGGTTTTGGAAGCTCTTAGTGTTAGCGCATGCTTGTGGGTGTGTGAAGTAGGACTGAGCAAATGTTTTTGTTGTACTTTGATTGGGACCACTGCTTTTATGTTATGCTGTGCCTTAAGAGACTTTTGCCTTGTAAAAACTGCCCCCCCCCAAAAAAAAAAAATCTGATTTAAACTAAACTCAGTAATAACTACAGTTATAAATTATAGTATAATTTTTTTTCCCCCCATAGGACAGTTAGGACTAATAGCCAGCTTTGGCCACAGCAGATCAAGATATGTTCTTTGTCAGCTTCCCAGCTTCTTGCCCAGAGTAGTTTTAGACTTTACTCCATTCAGAATGTAGCTAAACACTGCTAGATGCTACTAATCAGACCTTCATTTTGTAGGAGCTGCCCTTCTTTCTCGTTACTGAACGCCTCATTTAAGTAGTTCCTTCTCCTAGGCTTGCCTGTTCAGCTATACTTTCAGCATGGACTGCTTCAGATTTTACTGAGCACTCATAGCACTTGTGTACTCTGCTGTAGACAACAGTAAGCAGCACAGAGGAAATTAAAGACAAAAGGAAGGTGGTGATGAAGTTTGAGAGCAGCCAACAAAGTTACAACTCATACCTCTGGTTTAGCCATTACCATTAAAAACTAACTTCTCTAGCCATAATCTAAATGCTAGAGGAACGCTAATGCATCTCCTTTGTTTTTGCAAAGGCTTTAGTCATTTTCCTCATTAAACAAGCTATAGTACCAATTAATCAGTTATGGAAAGAAACTTTAATGCAAGTTTATTTATCAATACACAATGCAAAAAAAATAGCAAAATGCTGAGTGTGCACATCATCTTTAGTTAGATTTTACATGATTTCAGCACAGGCATTTGTGTGTCTGGCACAGCTGTACCAGTACACTATGCCAGTGAGTGCAACATTCCCTTTAAGGAAGATGCTGATGAACTGAACACGTTCACCAGGTAGCTTCCTTCACAGTATTTAATTTGTCATAGCTTAAGAGCAACAGTGGCACATGCAAAAAACACTTTGCAAAAAAGAGTTATTAAACCAAAAAAAAAAACCTAATAAAGTCAGTTACAGTTGCAAAGACATTTGCTGCAGCCATTGCACAAGAGAATAATGGCAGAGTGCTTGGTCTGTGTGATTTACAAGACAGTTCATGGTCAAAGGCTCATGCAGACCCACTAACACTGTTCTTAGTGCTTGCTGGGGCTGCAAGAGAACAACAGGCAGGAGGGGCTGTATGCAGAATGGCCCATAACTAGCTCTCCTGCATTGGGTAGTATGCACAGAATGAAGACCAACATGCCCTTATTACCTAGTGAGCAAGAATTACTGCAAAACTTCACTGGGACTGGGCTGATTGATTGAAGTAAATTTGCACCATTAAAGCAGATGTACTGCTGCCTCAATCAGTAGCAGAAGCTCAGAATTTTGAGCAGCTTTTTCAAGCATCACTTTTTCTTAGTCTTACATCAATGCTGTCAGGACAGACACTATCATTAGTATAGATCTTTAATTAGAAAAAAGCCAAGAGCATTAAGCATTTAAAACACCTGTTCATTAGCAACATGAAGGCTATGGTATTTGTATAATACAGGAAGCACTTCCTGATAAACATGAGATATGAGTTGAAGAGCTCTTTTGCCATGTTATTTTCAGCTCTTTCACTACAAAAGTGAAGCAGAATAGCTGTAGTAAGTTGCTGGATTAAGATCTCAGCTTAAATAATAATAATAAGCAGCTCATTCAACAAAGGAATGCTTAGACTAAACAGTTCCATTGGAAAATATGGAACAGCAGCATCCTCTAGTGCAAGTCATCTTTAAAATTAAAAGCCTAGCTGACAATGAGACATTGCTTCTAGGGAAGCCCTTTCCAAGGGATTAGTATTTGCTAAAGCAAACATATACTACCTTGAATTTGCTTGCAAGGATTCAATAAATATTGATATTCATATTTCATACATTAAAAATACTTTATTTTACATTCATTTTGATGTTCAATAAGTTACGTCTAGCACCAAAAAAACATTTTGGAGGGGCTGAGGAATTAAGAAACTACAAAGTGTAAATGCAGAAGAATTCATTTGTACAGCATTTAAATGACTTACTGGTGCCTAGAATTTTTAGGTTACTGTTCCAATGGGCTTTCGACTATTGCTTCAGTTAGGTGTGCCACAGCACTGCAGAAATATAAAAATCACAGATTTGGGAAAAAATTCAAAAATTCACAATTCTTTTAAACTCTCTGGTACACGCATAGTTGAAGCTTCAGAACACTATCAGTAATGGTATGTTATGGCAGTTAGGTAACAGGTTATAGGAAGAACCAAATTGCTTAACCGGAACACTGGAAAGAAAGGCTGAACTTCCTTTCCACTGAAGTAGGACAGAGGAAAATAAAGTCACTGGTTTGTACCTTAGGAACTTGCTTTGTGCGCTGTTTGTACATGCACATAGGTTGGAAGCGGTTCTGTAAGCGGCTCAGCACATTGCACTTAGTTACACTGCTGCCAAGGAGAGACAGTTTTGTCTCTGGTATTCCACATGAAGCCACTTACAGGTAAGCAAAACAAAGTATTATGTAAGAGAGGACATAGCCCTTTCCTTTTTTGAAGGGTTGTAATACCACAAGCTCAAATGAAAAAGGCACTAGAGTTTTTTTCCTTAGAAATGCTGGCTTTATAATTGTACCCTTTTTATATTAAACTCACCGGTAACACTATTTTGGTAATGCTGGATATATTAAGTAAAAATTATTCTGCTCTCATCAGTATACCTTTGTCAAGTTGCAGAATTAATACTGTTATAAGATTTGGTGGGTCCCTCACTGACTACAGTCCGAAGCATCAAAACAAGATTACGTTTCCATTGCTTGCATTTGTTCAGTCAAATTCCATTTTTCAGCATGTCTGTAATTTGGAAGACCTACCCAACTAGCCTCCAGTTTTCCTGCTCTGGAAAAGGCCAGGAAAAAAAATATCTTATGCAAAACAGAGTTATAAATAAGCCTGTGCCCTCTGCCACATAGCATCCCCCATTTTTTTAATTCGATTGGTTCAATTCCAGCATAGGAATTTAAGAATGAAATGAGTCTAAAAATCCTTTTCTACCTCTTCAACTTAATTCCCTTAATCAGTATTACAAAAATGATGTATAGATCAGGCATTTCTATTATATGCTCCACTTACAAGTTTATGTCTACTGCAAGCACCTAGTTGAGTCTGTAGTCCTGACAGAGTTATCTGTCAAGGTGCACAGCTCACACTGAAGAGGACTGAATTCATAGCTCTGCTACCATCTCAGTAAATTCAATTTCAAAACATTTAGTCCAGTATGTTTCAAGGTATGTGCAATTAAAAACCTGTATTGACTTCATTTATAGTTCTGTACTTTAACAGCCGTGGTTTAAAACAAAAAAAGAGTAATACAGATTGGTTTTTAACCCAATCTCACTGATCACTATCAGTTTGATTTCCCTTGTCCCTCCCAAACAAACTCAGGAGGTGGCAGCTACGCCTCCTCAGACTGTCTGAGCTCAGGAATTACAGATAGGAAAGGAGGAGCAGAAGACTCCCTCCAGCAAGAGGTAACAATAGGAGACAGTGATTTTGCCGCCTAAGGCTCCCAGCTGCTGCAAGACAGCTCATTGCATCCTTGCCCAAACCCCATTTCTGGACGGAATTACCCACTTTACAGTAGCGCTGACCTCCTAAAAATCTCACTTCCAAAACAGAGCACCACAGTTGCTTTGAGCTTCTGCAGCTTGCTACTAATTTAGTTAACACTGAAGCTTCCAGTGAGGGCCTGTATCAGGAAAAAAAAAAAAAAATCAAGTCAAATCTTACTCAGGATCAGTGGGGTGTGAAGGTAGAGAAGCTTTCCACAGCATCAGTACCTGAAGGCATCTTCTCTCTCACATTTGTTGGTTTCTATTCCCTGTCATGGCTCATCCCTGCAGCAACCTCTACAGAAACTCTCATACTGTTCTGCCAACACCTTGGCTGTAGTTATTAAGGAAAGTGTTCTGAAAGCTTAGTAATGTTCACAAAAATCCCTGTTTAATATTGCTCAAGAGCTCAGGATTTTTGTGAGCCTCACTTTGCTGCCAGCGTTATGTCAAAAACAAAACGAAAGGAGATTAAAGTTTCGCTTGCTAGAAACTGTCTCCCGCCTTCAAAAAAGCAAGGATTACACTGATATTCGTTTGTCCAACAGGAGTAGAGTAACTACTCTGTGCCTACTGGACTTGAATAAGTTTACATGAGGAAGAGATCTGTTCTAATAATGTACCAAAACCAATGAAATGCACGAATAAGTATTTTTCAGTATTTGCCATGATCCAAAGCAAGAATCCATGTGAACCATGGGCCATGAATACTGTCCTTGAGGCCATAATGCACCTTTGATGTGTTTTTTTTCAGATCAGCTGAATTTCATGAAGCATCCCTGGATATCCAACCACTTTCTGTTAGAAAGTTTAAAATTCTTTTCTTCAATACCTTATCTAAGTAACTGGGAAGGCGACTCTTTGAAGGGATTCCTTGTCTTTTTTGGAGATGGTCTTTAATGATTATAGTTTTCACAGTCACGTAACGTGCAGGACTCAAATTTAGAGAGCTGCAGAGCACCTTTTCTCTGTCCGATAACAGTTCAAACCCAGGCAGGTTTTCGATGGCAGCAAATTCACCTTCTTTACCATCTTCCTTCCCTCTCTTGGAGCCAGCTATGTTTTTGTTCTCCTTTCTCTTTTCCCGTTTATGTCTCGCTGCCTCATACTCTGCTGACTCTTCCATTTTGGTGATTCCATTTCGACGATACCGCTGCAGTTCCCGAATCTTTGCTCGGAGCATTCTCTCTTTGTGCATGTTCTCAAAGAAGTCTTCAAACTCCTTACAAGACATAAACTGATACAGAGGCCTCAGTTTCAGCCTCAGCTCCTTCTCTTCTTTTGTGATCTTTCGTTTGGGAGCTTTCTCCTTGTCCTTTTTATCCTTCCCCAGGAAGGCAGGTACCAGGTTATAATCACGGGCAATGTTCTTCCGCCGTTGCCTCTCCTTCAGTTTTCTTACGTACATATCTACGTGAGCTCTTTTCAACTCTATTTCCACATCATCATCATCATAGTTCACTGAAAGGCCACTGATCAGAGTTTCAGCATCTTGATCATATTCAATCTCATAGTCATCCCGAAGCGGCATATACCCCAACTGTTGCTGTTCTGCCACTGATATATCCAATGGTGGGAGCGGCGTGGTCAAGCTAGGAGAAAGCGGGCCACCACTTGGACACGTGTGATCTGTTACTCTGTTCGGAATAGTGTCAGGGATGCAGGCTTTGCCAAGATTGCCATGGATGTACATGCTCACGTAGTGCTCCATCACCTCCTGAGGCGTTCGGGAGGCTCCCACGTGAGCAGCCATGTCCTCCTAAATGGAAAACAAGGAGGAGTGACAGAATGGTTGCTGTTACATCTCCAGGGTAGGGTGCATTCAGTTAAGAGTACGACTTCTTCCCCGCCCCTCAAAAGCCAACACACAATACCTTAACTTTCCTAGTAATATTGGCATTTGCCACACACCCATCCGATCTGGATTTTCAGGTGTAGATAAATATTTACAAGCGGCACTTAGGCCATGAAACGGGCATAGCAACATCAATAAAGTAAGCTGTATCAGATCTCCAATTTCACAGGAACACCACTGAGACGCTAAATCCACATGGCAAGTCCCGAGTCTTTACTGGTCGCAAGTTAGCTTACTACCAGGAGGAAGTCCACAAAGTCGTACTTTTCAACAGACAAATCCCAAGTCAGTACTGATACTACCACGTCATTGGTGTTTTCCTCGTTTACAGTGTTGCCAAAGTACTTTAAGCAATATAGAAATAAGATCGTTTCCAGCTCTCTTCTGGGTGTTGTTTAGAAGAAAAAGTTACAGCCGTCACAAACACAAAGATCTTCACACGGAAGAGATTCCTTACATTTACCGAAACGAAAGGAAACAAAGCAACAAGTAGCGACTCAAACGATGACACTTCTTACAAGAGAGAAGCGCCTCCTTCGACAAGGAGAGCTCGAGCTGCTTCACTGTGCTTTTCACTCCTTCTGAACAGCCCTGGTCGTGCGCTAGCACAGAGGACAAACAGGGGCCTTACCGCTGCGACACGCCGGGGCAAGGAGCTGCACACTGGGAAGAAGAGGGGACAAAACGAGCTCCGCAACGCCAGCGGGACGGAGGGGAAGACGGCGCTCGGATTTAAGGCAGCTGCCA